AGCTCACTGCAACCTCCACCTCCTGGGTTCAAGCATTTCTCCTGCCTCAGCCTCCTGAGTAGCTGCGATTACAGGCTGCGACCACCACGCCCAGCTAATTTTTGTATTTTTAGTAGAGATGGGGTTTCACCATGTTGGTCAGGTTGGTCTCGAACTCCTGACCTCAAGTGATCCACCTGCCTTGCACTCCTAAAGTGCTAGGATTACAGGCATGAGCCACCACGCCTGGCCAGACATATTTTAATTTGTCTTTTTTCAACCTATCTAGAAATTAGGCAATTGTTTTTTTTTCCCCCAGTGGTGGAAAGGTTTTCCTAGTTGTCTAATTTATAAGTTTTTGGAAAGATACTTGCAATTCTTAGTTTCTCAACTACCTGACCCTCCTTTTCCTATGAGCCTTTGAGAAATACTTATGCATAAGTACTGCTTAGCATTGTAAAAAGAAATTTACTGACCTAAAAAAATGTAATGGCCATTACTAGGCAGATGGTTAAGCACTGGGTGAATCTGCCTTTATTTCCTAAGTCATTTTGAAGAAATGGGGAAAATCATCCAGACAATAAAACTGGGACCTACACTACATCTCATCTACTTTTAATGCCTAAGGTTCTAGAGTCAAGTTCCATTTCCTTCCTTCCTACACGTACGTGGCGATAGAATGAAAATTAAACATATATTTCTCAATTACTACCCATGACCCATGCCTTTAAATATTGTGATATAAATAGGTACTGAGTCTGTATACACAGGAAAAGACCACAGTGAAAAGAAGCATAAAGTTAAGGAGTTCATAGCTTACTGCCCACAAAGCTTAATATTATACATTGGGTTACACTGACCTCTACAGGATGATAATAAAAACTAGCTTAGTTTGAAAATAGAGGGCAAAGGAGAAATGAAAGGCATCCATTTGCCTTTCATCCACAAAAATGAAATTTTGTACATTTCATTCACAAAATAATTCAGCAAAATGATGGTAAGTAGTTGTGTTTCAGATACAAATTCTGAGTTAGTCAATAACTGGTAATTTTTGAGGTATTTTAACAACAACTTTAAACTGTTCTGAGTGGGATTTCAAAAATCTTAAATCAATTCTATGGAAAGTAAAAAGAAAAAGGAAGAGAAATAAAATGCCTCTTATCTTAAATTTTTACCATTTACATTATAGGGCCTTCGTTTAAAAATATATAACCATGAATATTTGCATCTATAATAATTCTGGTTTTAAAATGTGTTGTTTTGCGGCACACCAATATAGCACATGTATACATACGTAACAAACCTGCACGTTGTGCACATGTATCCTAGAACTTAAAGTATAATAAAAAATATTAAAAAATTAAAAAATTGTTTTAAAACCTTAAAAAAATGTGTTGTTTTAAATTGGTTCTAAAAAAAATATTGGGAATGAGGTTTTAGTTTTAAAAATTGTGATCTTTCCAGGCATAGTGGCTCATGCTTGTAATTCCAGCATTTTGGGAGGCAGAAGTGGGAGGATTGCCTGAGGCCAGGAGTTTGAGACCAGTCTGGGCAACATAGAGAGACCTCGTCTCTACTAAAATTAAAAAATTAGCCGGGCATGGTGGCACACGCCTGTAGTCCCAGCTGCTCAGGAGGCTAAGGTGGGAGGATCGCTTGAGCCCGGGAAGTTAAGGCTGCAGTGAGCTGTGATTATTCCACTACACTGCAGGCTGGGTGACAGAGCGAGACCTGGTCTCAAAAAAAAAAAAAAAAAAAAAAAAAAAATCGTGATCTCCAGGCTAGCTTTGTACCTTAAAAGCCTTCCTTAAGAGGATATTACAATCTCTTTAGACTACTTTAAACCAGTTAGCATGATATTTATATATGTTTCTGCATTCATAGCTTTTTCTCTCCTTCCTTTTAGTTCCCTCTGCCACCACTGTCACTCTTGCCCACGCGATCTGGTGTCCTTAGTATCCCCCGAAATCACAAGTTTCCAAAAGAGAAAGAAAGAAAAATTCCAAGCCTCACATCTTTTGTGCCTAAGCTCTCAGCGTCTGTTCGTCAATCTGATGAGCTTAGCCCAACAAATAAGCCTCCAGGAGCCCTAGTTAAGTTGTTGATGGATTCGACTCTCAGGTCTTCTGATGGCTTCATTTGGTCAAGAAACACATGCTCTTTTCCTAAGGTTAACCATCACAGACAATGCCTGGAGATGGAGGAGAACTGGAAATCCAAGGAAATAGAAGAATGTAACAAAATTGAAATCATCCACCTTGAAAAAGGGCAGTCTTCGGTGTCTTTTGAGAATTTGAAGGAAGGCAATATTCCTGCAGATAGGGAAGAGGATAGTGACTGCCATGGGAGTAAAACGAGAAAAGCTGAAGAAGAGAACTCTCAATATCTTTCATCAAGAAAGAGTGAGAGGTCAGTAGCCAAAAACTATGACCAAGATTCAGAAATAGTATGTACCATTCCAAGCAGGTTCCAAGAAGCCCAGCATTCAGAAATAACTCCAAGCCAGGATGAAGAGATGAGAAATAATAAAGCTGCTTCCAAAAGAGCTTCATTACATAAAGGTGAAGCAATGGAACCAAACAATATTTTAGAAGAGTGTACTGTACTTAAAAGCTTATCCAATGTATTCTTTGATGACCCCGTTGATAAACTCCCGGAAGGTCGTAGCAGCATGGAGACAAACATAAAAATATCAATAGCAGAAGGAGCCAAACCAGAAATGAGTGGGATGGTGCCTCTTATCCACATCACCTTCCCTGTGGATGGAAGCCCCAAGGAACCAGTAATAGCCAAACCAAGCCTCCAAAAAAGAAAGAGAACCATTCATAACAACCATAGTGTCAACATACTTGTACACCAAGAAAATGACAAGCATGAGATGAATTCCCATAGAAGTAAGTTGGATTCAAAGACTAAGACAATGAAGAAGACACCTCCGAATTTCCTGATTTCTACTGAAGGTCCCATTAAGCCTACCATGCATAAAACCAGCATAAAAGCACAAATTTTCCCTGCTTTGGGACTTGTTGACCCCAGGCCTTGGCAAATGCCCAGGTTTCAAAAGAGAATGCCACAGATAGCAAAGAAGCAATCAACTCACCGGACTCAGAAACCTAAAAAGCAATCATTTCCTTGCATATGTAAAAATCCAGGAATACAAAAGTCATGTGTTCCTCTCTCTGTTCAACCGGCAGAGCCAAGACTAAATTACCTGGATCTTAAGTATAGTGATATGTTCCAAGAAATCAATTCAACTGCTAATGGACCTGGAATCTATGAAATGTTTGGGAGCCCTGTTTATTGTCATGTGCGAGAGGCTGAAAGGGATGAAAACAAGTATTACCGTGAGATATGTTCCGCTCCATCAGGCAGATGTATCACCAATAAATGTCGATCTTCACACAGTGACAGGAGCAGCAATATCAGAACAAGACTTTCTCAGAAAAAACCACATATGAAACCCCCAAAGACTTCATTTGGCATTAAACAAGAGCACAAAGGCTTAATGTCTAAAGAAAAGAGTTCCAAGGTTGTACGTCGCAACCTACGTGACATTGAAAATGGTGATGGTATTTCAGAACCAGACTGGCAGATAAAGTCTTCAGGAAACGAGTTTCTACCTTCCAAAGATGAAATTCATCCCATGAACTGGGCTCAGACACCTGAGCAGTCCATGAAACAGAATGAATTCCCTCCTGTCTCAGATTTATCCATTGTTGAAGAAGTTTCTGTGGAAGAGTCTACGGGTAATAGAGACATTTCTAACAATCAAATACTCACCACAAGCCTCAGAGATCTGCAAGAACTTGAAGAGCTACATCACCAGATCCCATTTATCCCTTCGGAAAACAGCTGGGCAGTGCCCAGTGAGAAGAATTCTAACAAGTATGTACAGCAAGAAAAGCAGAATACAGCATCTTTTAGTAAAGTAAATGCCAGCCGAATTTCAACTAATGATCTAGAGTTTGATAGTGTTTCAGATCAGTCTAAAACACTTGCAAATTTCTCTTTCCAAGAAAAACAAGAAAGTGCATCTTCCCAGACATATCAATATTGGATACATTATTTAGATCATGATAGTTTAGCAAATAAGTCAATCACTTATCAAATGTTTGGAAAAACTTTAAATGGCACAAATTCAATTTCCCAAGCAATTCCAGACTCTGTAAATAATGAGGAATTGACAGATGAATTATTAGGTTGTCTAGCTGCAGAGTTATTAGCTCTTGATGAGAAAGATAACAACTCTTGCCAAAAAATGGCAAATGAAACAGATCCTGAAAACCTAAATCGTATCCTCAGTCAGAGAGGAAGTACCCCAAAAGAAATGGACAGAGGGACAACAAATGTCAAAATGCAGGTTGGTAAAATTAGAATCCGAGATTCACTGGGGTGGGAAGGACCTCAGAGATAATCTGGTTCAAACCCCTTATTTTCAAATGAGGAATTATAAACCCTACACAATTAAATAGCTTCTTCAAGGTCTCATTGTTTGATCACAAGGTTGGAATTCAGGTCCTCTGACTCCCAGGCTAAGACGTTTTCATTATGCTGCCTCACTTCTGGAATTTAGCTAGCTTGACATTGCAATGAAATCAGTTTGGTTACATTAATTTAGCAAAACCATTCAAATAGGTCAGTATTTTATTCAATGATGACATTTTCAATCAACAGCATATCATTTCCAACTGTCAGCAGAGAGATAATTATAGGCAAGACATTGCTCTAGGTATGTGAGATAGAAAGAAATGAACGTGGTCCAGAAGTGGCTCACCATTTTGTTCATATGAAGACATGAAATGTACATGTCTTAGAGTCCCTACACCTGAGCATTTGCTGTCAGATGATTCACTACTTTAATGCAAAATTATTATTGATGCCTACTGTGTTTCTGGCAGTGGGCCAAGAACTAGGAGCATAGTGCTGTACAAGACTCAGCCATTGTTCTCATGGAAATGTAAGCAAAAATCCTGAAATAAGATTTTAAAAAATTTTGTTTGGCATGGGAGTGGGCATGGAGTGGGGAAGAAGATCAACAGATAGTCGAGTTTTCTTTGTTATCATTTTCACTAAAGTACACGAGCCTCCCAAACTGAAATTTTAAAGACGGAAACAGTAATTAAGCTGAAATATTATGTATTGAACGCTAACTCAGGTTATAGTACACTACATCCACACTGTATCAGGATCAGGAATATTTTTTTTTTTTGAGATGGAGTCTTGCTCTGTTGCCCAGGCTAGAGTGCAGTGGTGCGATCTCAGCTCACTGCAACCTCCGCCTCCTGGGTTCAAGCAATTCTTCTGCCTCAGCCTCCCGAGTAGCTGGGATTACAGGCACTTGCTACCACACCTGGATAATTTTTGTATTTTTAGAAGAGATGGGGTTTCACCATCTTGGCCAGGCTGGTCTTGGAACTCCTGACCTCGTGATCCACCTACCTTGGCCTCCCAAAGTGCTCGGATTACAGGCGTGAGCCCCTGCACCCAGCCAGGAATAATTATTTTAAATAGTTGGTCAGAAGAACATACAAGGTAAAGAATTATCCCGTAGCTTCCCGGACTGTTTGCTAGAGATACTAGTCTGACTTCCTGCAAGTCTGACTTGTAGATGGTAAACTGGCTTCCTGGTTTGGTTACTGTAGATAATGGGTTGATTTCCTGGGTTGGTTGCTGCACACTGTAGGTCAGAGTTCTATTTTTATATATGGTCTGGCCATTGTTGGTTGATATATTATCTCTCAGTACATATGTGTATGTATATATGTGATGTATATGTGTGCATGTATGTTTATGGATTATATATCATTTATGTTTATGTGTGTGTACATTTGTGTGAACACACATATGAATATGTGTGTATGAGTATGTGTGTCTCTATGTAAAAATGTGTCCAGCTCTGCGTATGTTTCTCTTTCTGAACTAGGCTGTGTTTAGGAGCAAGTTGACCATGATAATGGGAATTTTGAGGAGAGTTGAGGTTAGGGGGCTGAGGAGATGGCA